AACTGTGTTGCGTTGATGAAGCTGGATCTTTCAATAGAGCTGTCATTCGAAGTGAGATGAAGAATCGCAAATGACCCCAAAGAGGAAAATAAGGTGAAGGCCGAAGTAGTACTTGTCGGTGGGAGTGTTGGTGCGATTGCGGCGATGTGGCTTGCTAGCCCGAGCGCTTGCTGGTGGAAACCGCTGTGGATGTTTGTGATGAGTGTTGTTACGTAATGGCAGTGCTGTGCAAGACGTTTTTTTTCTATCCTTGACTGGACCGACTCGTGAGATTGGGTCGATGGGACCGAGCTGTTAGCAGGCTCAAATCCAGTACGAACATCATGGTCTCCTATCCAAGAAGACCTAAGTGTTCGTATCCAGCGCCACGTTTCTCTGCCGCTCCATGGACTCTTGTGAAAACTGGCGCAACACTTCTCTCTTTCACCCACGTCCAAGGTGAGCTGTGTATTCGTCACTCTCTCTCACTGACCTTTATTTCAGGAAGTTTAACTTTGGATACTTTGGGTGATGCTGAACCCAAGGACCTGCTCGGGATGAGCTTTGATACGTCTGAGTCCTGCCATTCACAAAGCCACTCACGGAGGCATTCACGAAACCATTTTTCTTCAGCAAAGCGTTCACTTGAACCTTCAATTGAAGCCCATGCCTCTTTCCTCGAGAAAACTGCTACATTCAGTATGAACTTATTCAAAAGAATGATGGAACCAGCCATGCTGAAAGAGGAAAATGTGGTAGTAGCCCCTAATCTTATACGTTCTGGAATGTGTGCGGTGTCTCTCGGATCTGCTGGGAAAACCAAGGAAGAGTTGATGGAAGCGTTGGAGGGGAAAGGGAGCCCATACCATGTCAAATTCTGCCAACAGATGAATGACCAGTTCAAGGCTTCTCTGGCATCTATTACGAGTGATGTGTTTGTTGCAGAAGGGTGTGCTCTTTCTAAGAAATTTAAAAAGAAGGCTTTGAACTTCTATGACACTGCTGTCCAACACTTGAAAGCGTAAGCCGTTGCCTCAAGCTGAGCTCCATTTGTGATTGTTCCCACTTCAGCAAGCCAGAAGACTCCGTGAAATTCATCAACGACTGCTTGAAGAAGAAAACGAATGGCAAAATAGACATTCTTTTGACCGAGGACGATATTGGCGACTCAACATGTGTGCTCACTTCGTCAGCTCACTTCGAAGCAGAGTGGAAGACGAAATTCGAGAAGGAGAGGACAATCGAGTTTGAGGGCGTGGAAATGCCTTTCCTGTATCAGAAAGCTATGACTGTCCAATCCATAGTCTGGGAACCGGCGAAATCCCGAGCTGTACGGCTTCCACTGAAGAATGACATGTACCTCGTCATTTTGACTCCACCCAATTTAAATCGAATGAAAAAAGTCGTCAAGTGCTTGGGTTTGCATCTTTGGAGAAACTTGATATATCATCTGGGCAAGGCGGACGACACAACGGCACAAATTTCCCTTCCAAAGTTCACTCTGGAGCACCAATTTAAGGCAAAGGACAATGTCAAGGAGATGGGGATTCGATCCGCGTTCCTCCCTGGTGCGAAGCTCGGCATTGTGAAGGAGGGAAAGAAACCATACATCTCTGACGTTATTCAAAAAGCCAGATTCAGTGTTGATGAAGGAGAAGAGCTCCCGAAATACGAAAACAGTGACAATGACAAACACACCCCGTCCTTTACCTTCAACAAGCCATTCCTGTTTTTCGTCACACAACATAAATTCGAGGACAGTATTCTCCTCTGTGGGGCCATGTTATCTGCACGCAACCTCCCGACCAAGAACCAGTCCAGCAAGAAGAGCAATAAAAGGAAGTTTCATGTGTAGACATGTCACGCCTCGTTTCTGACGACTAGCATTGCGTTGATCTTTTTTTAATGGTGACTAGCAAATTTCTCTCAATTTTTGTGTTCGTGTGGTCTATTCGTGAAATGTTGCCCCTTGGAAACTCACCCTTGAGTTATCAGTCTCATCTTCCGGTCCACAGAGATCGCTCATTGACGAAGTTATCAACGACCGACTTGGTTACAGGCGAGACGCCAACGGGGGGCACAGGGGATAATCGACTAGAGTCTGCCGGATTCTCTGCCCTCCGACGTGGCCGTTTTTCGAGGAATCTTCCGGAGAAAGCCCGGGTAACACGTTAGTGAGGCCACTGCAACAATGATCCCGAAAGCGGAAAACAAGGTGAAGGCTGGAGTGGCACTTGTGGGTGGGAGTGTTGCGACTTCGGCAATGCGGCTTGCTAGTCCGAATGCTTGCTGGTGGAAACTGATGTGATGTCACGTAATGGCAGTACTTTGCAATAATTTGTCTATCCTTGACAGGACCGACTCGTGAGATTGGGTCAATGGTGGGAAATGTGCACACACACACAGAAGCAGGCTCAAATCCAGTACGAACATCATGGTCTCCTATCCAAGAAGACCTAAGTGTTCGTATCCAGCGCCACGTTTCTCTGCCGCTCCATGGACTCTTGTGAAAACTGGCGCAACACTTCTCTCTTTCACCCACGTCCAAGGTGAGCTGTGTATTCGTCACTCTCTCTCACTGACCTTTATTTCAGGAAGTTTAACATTGGATACTTTGGGCGATGGTGAACCCAAGTACCTGCTCGGGATGAGTTCTGATACGTCTGAGTCCTGCCATTCACGGAGCCATTCACGGAGCCATTCACGGAGCCATTCACGGAGCCATTCACGGAGCCATTCACGGAGCCATTCACGGAGCCATTCACGGAGCCATTCACGGAGCCATTCACGGAGCCATTCACGGAGCCATTCACGAACCCATTCTTCTTCAGCAAAGCCTTCAGAAAATCCAGGAAATTCAGGAATAATGAAGATCATCGCCAAAAATAATAAATTCAGTGTGAAATTATTGAAACACATGATGGAATCAGCCATGAAGGAAAAGAAAAACGTGGTAGTATCTCCTCATCTTATCCGTTCTGGAATGTGTGCTGCGTCTCTCGGATCTGTTGGGGAAACCCGGGAAAAGTTGACGGAGGAGTTGGGGACACAGAGCCCCAACCATGGCAAACTCTGCCAAGAGATGAATGACCGGTTCAAGGCTCCTCTGCTATCTTTTACTAATCATGTGTTTGTTGCTGAAGGGTGTACTCTTCGTAAGGAATTTGAAGCTGAGGCTTTGAAGTTCTATGATACTGTTGTCCAACACTTGAAAGCGTAAGCCGTTGCCTCAAGCTGAGCTCCATTTGTGATTGTTCCCACTTCAGCAATCCAGAAGACTCCGTGCAATTGATCAACGACTGCTTGAAGAAGAAAACGAATGGCAAAATAGACATTCTTTTGACCGAGGACGATATTCGCAACTCAACATGTGCGCTCATTTCGACAGCTCGCTTCAAAGCAGAATGGGAGACGGAATTCGAGAATGAGAGGAACACTTATTTTATCTATGGGAATAAGAGGGTCCAAATGCCTTTCCTGTATCAGAAAGCTATGTCTGTCCAATTCAAAGACTGGAAAATGGGAACGGGGAAATTCCTAGCTGTACGGCTTCCACTAAAGAATAAGATGTACCTCGTTATTTTGACTCCACTCGATTCATATCCAATGGAACGATTAGTCAAGGAGTTTCGTCACCAAGTTTGGGCAACATTGGCACATAAACTGTCCCACCAGGGAAAAGAAACGGCACAAATTTTCCTTCCAAAATTCACTCTGGAACACCAAGTTGAGGCGAAGAACGCGCTCAAGAGGATGGAGATCAAATCCGCGTTCCTCCCTGGTGCGGACTTCGGCAAGATGCTGGAGGAGGAAAAAACACCACACATCTCTGACGTTATTCATAAAGCCATATTCAGTGTTGATGGAGGAAATGTGCTCCCGGAATACGTAAACAATGGCAATAAAACCCGGCTCTTTACCTTCGACATGCCATTCCTGTTTTTCGTCGAAAAACCCCATGGCAAGAGGCACAGTATTCTCTTCTGTGGGGGCATCTTATCTGCACCCAACCTCCCGACCAAGAACCAGTCCAGCAAGAAGAGTAAGAAAAGGAAATTTCATTGTGTAGACATGTCACCCCTCGTTTCTGACGACTAGCATTGCGTTGATCTTTTTCAATACCATCATTAACCTGGTTGATCCTGCCAGTAATCATAGTGACTAACAAATTTTTCTCAATTGAGTGTTTTATGTTTTTGTGGTCTATTTGTGAAATGTTGCCCCTTGGAAACTCTTGAAGTTCTCAGTCTTCCGACATTGTGGTGGCCAACTGAGGACAGAACCAAACAACGTCTATTCAGGAAGCGTGGAACTCATTGAAAGTCGCGCGGGATAAGAAAAAAGTTGTGAGCTTGTTTTGTTTGTAACGTTACGGGTAATGAATTTCATAAACTAGGCTTCCGTTCGTGTTGGGAATGTTCTGAACGGAATGAGATCAAACGCCATTGCCGCGTCTTCTTCCCTGAATCGGTTCAACTGCGTGTGGTGTGTCCCACTGCGTGTGGTGTGTCCCACTGCGTGTGGTGTGTCCCACTGCATGTGATGTGTCCCACTGCATGTGATGTGTCCCACTGAGTGTGATGTGCTACGTTGGTAACTTGGTGGAGTTGCACATCGGATATAGTCTTTACGTTGGTTGTACCACCAGTTACAAAACCGTTGTCAATGGACATATCGGGGCGTGGTTAGTGGGTGGATGCTAATCGACCAGCGTTGATTCCATGATGCTTTTCCTTCGAAATTTTTTGGGGGAATTGCAGTCGAAAGCGTCGATGAAGGTTCTTGCAAGATTTCCAGGCCATTGAAGTCGAAAGCGCACGAAGCAAAAAATCGAAGAGAAGCACATGATCCATATCCAGGTCTTATTGTCTGCTCTGTTCCGTGTGCGTTTGATAATACTGCATGCATTGTCAAAGATCAAGTCATCATCAGTCAATCATCAATATGAATAATTTTCTTCGGCTTGCCTTCTTGTTTTTCTTTGGCGCAATAACCTCGTGCGCTTTCGACTGTAATGGCCGTGAACTCTCTTACAATGATTTCTCCGTCGATGTGGCTCATCTGATCGATGCTGATAAATCTATTAATACTCTAAATGGACCGACCAATGATGCTTCAATTTGGAGTGGATTGTCTTCCCTGTTTCTTCGAGAAAATCTTGAATCAAATCGTCTTGGGATTTTGCATTTCATTGATGAGGATTCCAAGACTTCCGCGAAGTGTTATCCAGAGGTCCCCTTGAAAAGGGGAGACAGGATGATTCTTTTATTTCATCTTTTGTATGTAGATATGGGTCCTCCAGAAACCAGAGCGACGACAACAAGAGCTTTGATCCCGACCCTTGATTTGGTGCTGGATGACGATTTCGGATGGAATTCAACGAAAATCAACCGTGATGGAAAAGTTGAAGTGAAGCTTGTTACGATAGCCACCAATAAATCTCCAACCTTGGAGGGGTTCGCGAGTCGTCCAGCTTGGCAGCCTGGTATGAAGAAGCAGTGCACTACCTCTAACCCTCCCTCGAAGGACGATGTTGCGAAAATACTGGCACAGAAAAATACTCACTTGGCGGTTGCCGTTCTGGACAGCGCCAGTGAGGAGGTCGAGAGCGCGTGGAAAGGACTGGAGGGCGCACATGTTTATGTGAAGAGGGGGCCCGTGCCGGACTACGAAAAATTGGATGAAACGTTCATACCGATGTTCAATTCAATTTTTTGCGCTGCCTATGAAGATGCAATGACGACAACAACTACAACAACGACGACGACGACTACAACAACTACGACGACGACGACGACTACAACAACTACGACGACGACGACGACTACAACAACTACGACGACGACGACTACAACAACTACGACGACGACGACGACTACAACAACTACGACGACGACGACTACAACAACTACGACGACGACGACTACAACAACTACAACAACTACAACAACTACAACGACGACGACGACAACAACGACGACGACGACAACGACGACGACAACAACGACGACGACGACAACAGCGACGACGACGACAACGACGACGACGACAACGACGACGACGACAACAGCGACGACGACGACGACGACCACAACAACGACGACGACGACGACAACAGCAACGACGACGACGACAACAGCAACGACGACGACGACGACGACAACAGCAACGACGACGACAACCACTACGGCAACTACGACAATTGCGACTGCGGCAACAACTACGACTACAAGAACAACTACACCTGCGACAACTACTGCAGCAACAAGTACCGATTCCGACGAGAGCGACTCTGAATGCAACTGCAGTGATGGATGCGTGAAGGTTGCAGTAAATGTGAAGGTCGAGCCGATTGCGCTTCCGTCAAAAGAGGCGTTTTTAAGCTGATCAATCTTCTTGAAGATGAAGGTGAAGCCGATTGCTTTTCCGTCAAAAGACGCGGTGCTAGGCTGATCAATATTTTTTGAAAGAAATGGAGCAAATGTGAAGGTTGAGCCGATTGCTCTTCCGTCGATAGTGGCGGTTCCAAGTTGATCAATCTTTTTTAACCATTTGTTTTCAAACACAAGAACTCACTATGTTTTGGAATCATAAGACCCTGCTCTCTTTCACACGTCTTATCAGGCGCTGCCCTTACGTTTGGTAGCTGGTAGAGGGCATATAACGCGGGTTCAATCCCCGCTGGTGGCTTCTTCACTTTGTTTTTTCACACTTTCAAAACGATTGCTTCTTTTTATGCGCCAGAAACCAGACGGCTTCCGTCATTTTTGGGTGTCCGTGGAAGTGCAAGGCAATACGATGTGTCGGCAAGCGGTGCTGGGGGAAGACTGAGAGGTTTAAGCTGAAGGGAACAAAAACAGTCCTTGGGATGAAATCTATCAAGGACCAAGACAATTGAAACGTCGTTGTCACTGGGTTGAACTCGTGCCTGTATTTCCATAGTATTTATATATCTCACCTACATGTCCTCCTTGCATGTCTTTATTCAGCGCCTGCCGTGCCTGTTCCTTTTGACTTTTTCTTGGACTAACCCCCTTTCCAGCCCTTTGTCGGTTTTTCCGAGCCGCTGATCCCCCCTATTTTTCGGCTCTCAGCATGTCATTCTTTGCGAGCTGGGAATACCTCCTCCTCCTGCTGGCGTGCATTCCCCTCTTGTCATGGGGACTATATTGTTAAGATCCTGCCTTAATGATTTTACTGGTTCATGTCCCAAAACCGGATTTTGCACTACACAAAAATCACTAACAAAAACCACTATCAAATATGGTTCTGAGATTGTTCGCTGTACTATAAGAGGTTATGAGCCCCCCCAGTTCTCTTTTAAACCCTCGTTGCAGAACTTGAAATTGTGTTTTTTTTCTTTCGCCATGGCCGCCAAACCCGTCCCCGATGGCTTCACAAAACTCACAGGCACCGGAAATTTTCACATTTGGTCGGATGAGATAACTCAGTGGCTTCAATTCAATAGCCTGGAGCTTTATATCACTCCATGGCAAAAGCCAGAGCCTACAGAGACAAATGCTCACCCGGAACCAAAGAAACCTTCGGGATGGACAGAAACCAATGCCAAGAATCATCTTCTTCTCAGTCGGCACAGAGCAGAGACATCATCTGCAGGACGCAGCCCTCCAGAACAAGATTGGCAAAAAGAAGCTCAATAAGGCAGTTCTGTTCGAGCCATTGATGAAGTTCCAACTGACGGACACCAATATAGACAACCAACTGTCGAGGCTATCCAATATTTGGATTCCCTTGAAAGCAGCCGTTCCCGCTCTACCAAACGAAGTCAAGACCTTCGACCTCTTGCTTAGCATACAAAGCCGGTTTCCTGCTCTCTTTGAGGCCTTTTGCACGCGTGAAGACCTAGTTTATCAGGAACTTGTCGACGCCATTGACCTCAGAACGTCAGCAGAACCAGTAGCGGCAAATCACGCATCAGTATCAAAGTCCAAGGCATACAAAGGCAGAAAGAACAAGAATGAAAACAACAATAAACACTGGGCGCCCCATCAGTCGACCAATGCGGCGTCCTCTAGCAGCACCATCAAGAAGATTTGCAACTTTTGTGGTCTACCTGGCCACACTTCAGAGGAGTGTAATACGAGAAGAATTTTCAATCAGCGGAAAAATCAAAATCAGAACCGAAGTACCAATTCACTCGCCTGCCACACCAGTCATGAGGTCAACAATGCACGCTTCCCATGCTCGTGTCGCAACACCTGAAACGGTCGAGTTCGTCATCGACTCGCTATGCGAACCATCACCAAAGAAGAATCCGTCGCCACCACACTTTCAACGTCGGGCCTCGGAGTAATCAAAGTTGCTGATGGACGCACAGTACCTGTGACATCAAGTGGGACGATTTCTGGGTCACTTCACACTCGTTCGGACGATCTCAATCAGAGTTGAAAATGTGCTAGTTTGCCCGCATCCAAGAAAGGGTTCATGGTCATGTTCAAGGACAATAGCTGTCATCTATATCCACCTGAACATCATCCGGACGTCGTCTACAATGAAGATACCATTGACATCATCACCACGTCAACAACTGGGGTTTACACACTCAAGATCAAGGTTGACCAGACACTTTCAGCTTTTGAAGCAAGATCGAAGTCCACAAGAGAGGCTGTTCTTCGTCACTGCAAGCTTGGGCACGTCTCCAAGAAAGTCATGAAGCTCCTCGGGTATTCTGTAAATTTTCCTTTCTGCACTCAAAGCAAAATTACTGTGTTGCCGTTTCCTCGCCAACATGAGCGATATGAACTCTCGGCCGCAGAAGCTGTTTGCGTGGATCTCTTGGTCGCGAAGGAGAACTCTATCTCCTGGTCATGGTTTGTTACGGTTCGGGACGGAACTTTGTTAAAGCGTTGAAGTACAAAATCAGAGGTGTCATCAACTCTTCAGAACGCGCTTTTGACATGGCAACAGGAATGCAACAGATTTCCGCGGTACATTCAATCCGATCGAGGAGGTGAATTTCTTGAATCCGAATTTCAAAACTTTTGCGCTGATCACGGCATTCAGATACACATGTCTGATGCGCAGTCCTCACAATCAAACGGAGTCGCAGAACGCGCAATTCGGAATGTTATCACGCAAGTCAGGTCGATGCTAATCGATTCAGGACTTCCTTTGGTTTATTGGCCCCAAGCAGCGCGCCATGCCATGTACATTATTAACAGAATTCCTTCTTCCACGCGGAACAACAGTATTCCTCTGATGCACTGGTTTCCCTCACACGATTGGTCACGCGCCACTCTAAGCATACGTCGATTTGGATGTCGAGTATGGGTACACAACAGAACAACTGACAAGCTTCTGATCCTGGTGTATTCCTCTATCACAACGACAATTCTGGAGTGTTAAACCACATCCTGACACACAATGAATTGCTCGAAGACCAACATGATTTTCGACGAAAATGACATGCCTTATCGTCTTGACATTCCCATTACACTCAATGACGCCTTTCCATTTTCAGAAACTTCAGATTTCTTCTCAGATTTCAACATCACGGAAGAGATACCGCAACCAACCCATCCGCATCCACTGCCAGTATCTCTTCGACTCGCGCCTGATTCCTCACTCTTGCCAGTGCCACCCAACGCTCAAGCCTCAGCCTCAACAGCTTCAGACAGTGCCACTCCTGAAGTCTCAACGCGCGTTTCCCAACGGTCAACCAAAGGCAATCGCTACGAAGAAGTAATACAAGCAGTAGAAAGAGGAGGTGTGTCACCCACAAATGCATTCTCAGCCTTGCGCGACTTTCTTCCCAAATCGATCACTCAAGCACTAGAGGACCCTCAATGGAAAAAGGCAACAGCCAAAGAAAGGGCGAAATTTGATGAACTCGATGTGTATGAACTCGTTGAACCACCAAAAGGACAAAAAGTCATTCCAACATTGTGGGTTTGGAAAATCAAAAGAGATGTTAACGGCGTTCCCATCGACTACAAGGCACGGCTTGTTGCTCAAGGAATTTTCCCCTCAGCACAAGACGCTCCAACTTATGCAGACATGGCATCATTTCCAACAGTCAGAACTGCTCTCGCTTTCAGCATTCAGCACAGCTTACGACTAAAACATTTTGACATTTCTTCAGCATTCATCAATGAATTGGACACGAAGCGTACGTCTACCAACCAGAAGGATACATCGATCAACAACGACCCGATGCTGTATGGAAGCTGCGAAAGGCTATGTATGGACTCAAAGAATCTCCTCACCTCTGGAATCAGTTCATCTTTTCCATTCTGATTCAAGAATCTATCAGCAGTCTAAAAATGACCCATCGCTTTGGTTCCAGCTGAATCAGTCATCTGGGGAGGTTGAAGCTCTGCTGTATTTGTGGACGATATCGTCGGGAGTTTCCTAAACGAGAGACATATGCAATCGTTTGTAGAACTAATCAACAACAACGGTCTGAAGATGACTGAGTCAGCACTAACAAAATTGCTTGGGATGGACATTGATTGCTCGAAAGACTGGTCAAGAATTCACGTTTTCAGTGAATCCTTCATCAGAGATCTCCTCCTTAAGTATAGTATGTCTGAGATTGTAATGCGGTTGCAACTCCAATGGAAACAGCTATTAATCTTTACCCAGAAGAGGACTCCTTCTGTAGTGACGATTTTCCGTTCGCATCCCTCATTGGATCCCTTAATTTCTTGGTCAACACTACCAGTCCCGATATCGCTTTTGCAGTTCGCTCACTATCCCAACACGTCAATGCATTCCAGCAAGTACACGTGATTGCAGTTAAACGGGTGCTGCGGTACCTTAAGGGTACATGCCTTGTTGGGCTTACATACAAGAAAAATCTAGATTCTGGAGGAACCATCACCTGTTACGCCAACGCATCGTTTTCTTCTACCCGTGATTGGAAGTCCATGACAGGCGGTCTCATCATGCTAAACCGTCAAGATTCACCAATTATTTGGGAATGCAGCCGTCAAACGGCAACAGCGACATCAACGACGGAAGCTGCCACTTTCATCCTTTGCCAGAAAGCACAGTTGATCACAAGCTTATTGCAAGAAATTGTGTCGTCCGACCTTTCCATCCTCATGTACAACGACAATCAACCGCTTCTTGATCTTCTCAACGTCAACGGTCACATTGTCGCACGTCATCGGGCAGCTGGATCGAAATTAGCCAAGCTTCGGGAATGGTCTCAAAATATTAACGAGGAAGCACATAAGATGGTGTTCGCTTATGTTTCAACTGAAAGAATGCTTGCCGATCTTCTTACCAAGCCCCTGGCAGCTCCACGGTTCAAGATCCTCCGAAATTCCTTCATGAACGATTCTCTCTCTGCTCCATCAATGAGCTCAGACGAAGAAGCATGATGCTCCAATCTGGGGAGGTGTTAAATCCTGACTTAATGACCAGATTATTTTACTGAGATTTTGCACTACACAAAAATCACTAACAAAAACCACTATCCAATATTGTTCTGAGGTTGTTCGCTGTACCATAAGATATATCACCTCATGACACATGTACTGGATTTCACAGGGAAGTTTCTGAAATCCCTAACTAAATGTTTAGTGTGGTGGCTTGCGGTCTGCGGCCCGCCGGGCTACGTGCTGTATCGCTTGTGTGTCTTCCTCATCTCCATCTTCCCTCCCTTTTCTGTCATTCAGGACGGGATTTCGGCCAGGACCACATGTTGGGCAACCGCGGCGGAAGACTGGATCCTACGGCAGCAGATGTACCTCATGGCCTGTGCGCTTTTGGTTTCGATGGGTCTTAACAATAAAGTCGCCCGAATAGATTTTCTCTGTACCGAGGACGGGCCATGGTGCAATGAACACTCCTATCCTCCGGGACCTAAAGACGGTGATAAACCACTTTCTGCAACTTTGATTTATTGCGCTTCGATTCAAACGAAAATAATTTGGGAAAAGAGCGTGGACTTCGATGCATAGAGGGAAAGGTTCGCGACTAGCCGAGCGGTTGAAGAGATGTACTTCACAACGCGAGAGTCTCAGTGAGGATCTATCGACCGTCACTCTCCCAATTTGATGTTTTCAGAAAGAATCGTGAAGATTTTAAATTGTAAGAAATCGATCACGATGTTGGATTGTTCTATCAAAAATTCCAGGCACTGTCATAAGGGGGATGCTGCTTCAGAGAAGGAGGTAGGGAGGTTCACCAGTATTTCAACAAGTTAGCAAGTTGCGATAAACCTGAATTAAAATGCAGCAATAGTAACGTGACACTGCTCGATATAAATGTGATTCATGTACCAAGCATCCGCTAAACAACGCCCCATTACCGATTGTCCATTGACAACGGTTTTGTAACTGATGGTACAACCAAAATTAGTCATAAAGACTATATCCGATGTGCAACTCCCAACAAGTTGCCAACGTAGTCACCACAGCAAAGAGAAATCGGAGGGAACCCATCAGTGCACTTGTCAAGAGCAGTAGACTTCAGTAGTACCGCCCACAATCCAAACAAAACTCTCTTCGATCAGCCACGGGCCACCGCAGACTCCCGAAATGCCAGCAGACAGCAAATCATCGAGACACTTCAAAAGAGAGCAAATACTGATGCTAGATTCATGATGTACTCAGCGATTGTGATGTAGAGTGCATTCCCAGCTGAGTCAATCTCGGATGATGAGGTGTAGAAGCAAAGACAACTCTCAACGCCCTTTCTGTCCTTTTGTACAAGCTTTCAGTAACATGAACAGGGGCATAGGATTTTGGATTTCTCCAGATTCGAAATTCAATCAATATTCCGTTTTAATCTTTAATGTATATGACGGAGAAAAAAAACACGCCTTCCGCTGTGTTGAAAATTTCCACACAAAATGAATTGCCGCTTTCAAGTTGTTGGCGATCAATATCCATTGCGCGCTTGCCCACGCGGACGCCCGCGGTTGGATCGACCGCCGTCTGTCGTTGGAGTATTTGGGACATAGCCTTCAGATTGATATACTCGGATGTATTCAGTAGCGGAGACATTATTGCCGACATCGGGTTGGAAATTGAATTGCGCCCGCTCATCCTCCGAAGGTGGCGAAGCTTTGCCGAAATCATCCAACCTGATCGTTAGGAATCCACTGCTCATGTCGAATTGCACATTCCGTAAAAACAAGGGTGCATCAACGTTGTTGAAATCTTCAGTCAGAGATGTCTGGGATGGCTCAAGTCCTAGACTGGCAACCCCTGTCTTGTCTCCAACTAGAACAACACCGCGTTCGGCTCCCTGGCGAGTTGGGTGAGGGACCTAAAGGCGAGACAAAGATGTCATGAACGAGCTCAAGTCTCAATTCATCGTGTTCCGTATAGAATTCAAAATTACCATCTTAAGCGCTTCGACGACCTTGACCCTAAGATTGCACCCTGGTCTGTTAGGGTCCAGCTTGGCAACATCTGTGAAGCGGGGAGATCGTTTCGGATCTCTAGGGGGGCGATAGCGTGGCATCAGTCCGTGATAGCGGAGCTCGTGGAGCAGGAACAATGCGGACATCGTTTTCGCGTCACTCGTGATTCTCCACGCGTCGCTGACACTCCAAAGACTGAAAAAGGAGAGATAAGTTGAAACATTCCGAACAAGTTCCCACGCACTCGACTGTAATTGCATCGGTGTCGTTTTTGGCGCGATTTGTGAATTTATCAATAAATTCGCGGGAGACAGTTTCTCTGTAGAGATAGAGTCGAACTCTTTCGTCGAGACTTGAGGGCGCCAAAGAAACACCCAAACTGCGACTAGGGGCTGCTGTCGGATTACGTCGCGCGGACAATGACAATGACGTCATGTCATCCATCTGGTTCTCGTAGAAGCGCAACCCGCACGCAGCGTGAACAGCTTCGAACGCGGGGCCACTGAAGGCGCCACCGACCTCAATTGTTCCACTGGGTATCTCTGCCGAATGGGACAATTGAAGCGGACGACAAATTGTCGGTTGTCACTTACCGCGGTGTTCGGGGGCACCGACTGCTGGGCGCGGTTGTTTGACGAATAGCACGTACTCGCGTGGTCGAGGACCACCCGACGCGCCATTCTCGTCGCGGTAGCCTGGAGACGTCTCGTTGTTCGAGCCGCCGTCCGTTAAAACGCGGAACACGATTAGGACTGCAGCACCGGGGCCATTCAAAAGAACTGGTCCCCCACATGAGGTGTTTTCGGGAGAACGAACAACATCTGCGTCTGTCAACACACAACGCGACATCAGACGTTACAAACGAGACGTCATGACGTACGAAGTTTCATAAAACCAATCGAATCGTCGGCCTTTACTTCGACGGATTGGAAGGTGATACATTGTAGTTGAAGACGTTGTTTTTGACGAGGTAGATACGAATTAGCCCACGCTACAAATCGCGGTGCAAAAACAATTTTGTCGAGCAGCGAAGAAGAACTGCAAAAAAAGAAAGCATAAAATGGAGCAACGTTGGAATGACGTACACGGTAGGCGCAAATTTGACCGGTACTTCGGTGACTTGATCTTGGCCTCGCAGGACAATTACGGGCTCGCCGCTTGCGGTGAGTTTTGACGTAACACTCATCGTGATTTTTGATCAATCCTTGTTGTTGATGAAATAAATTCTGTGGAGTAGGGTGGAGGGCTCAATAGCCCAAGTGGTCGAGTGATGGTTGGTAAAAAACTCGGGAAGAAAGTGGATTAAGAGTGGAAGTAAAGTTAACGATGGTGGATGCGACAGGGAGGGTTACTGCATGCAGGAGTGCGCTTTAGGGTGTCCTCGCCTGCCTTTCTGCCCCAAGACGTACCGAACCTACTGGCGACGTATGGAACCTGATAGCTCTTGATTATCGGAATGTCGCCCTCCAGTGACGGAAGCGCCATGAGTTTCCGTCAAGTCATTGGGCCCCTGTTCGCGTCGCTCTTACGCAAGATTGGGACAACCACGTGGTCCCAATCAGATTCGGTTGCTGTTTGCGACTGTTGCAGAGTATGAAAGTCGTTCATGCTTCTCTTCTTTTCATTGGTGTCTCTTGTAGCGGCTCTCTGAAGTCTTTCAAGATTGTAGTGATTCAGTCATGAAAGACAATGCACTTGTTTGTTGTATTCCATTGATCAGACTATTATCGGATTTGGTGGAGAACAATTCAAGAACTAAAAAAGAATCGGAGCTTATCGCAGATTCCTTGATGAACATCTCCAACCTTCTTAAACTCATTTTTCACAAAATCAAAATCATGGATCCAATTTGCGACTCATTATTGTTTGTTTTAGTTCAAAAAGAAGCTGTCAAACAGAAGCCGCCTTCCCTGTTGAAAACGGCATCTCTTCTACCGAGCGTTCCCATCCCGCAGAGGAAAACGCTAACGGAGGGGCTGCTTGCTTGCGCTGGGAGTATGACGGCAGCTCTGAATGTTGCGCTTGCTTTGGAGAATCGTCATTGCTTGAAGTCATTGGCAGATCTGCATCTGGTTCTGTTGCCTCTGTTGGGTACAACGTTTTACACAACACTCCAACAACCAATCGCGCAAATACTCTTCGACACTTTGAATCTCTCGATAGCTCTGGTGTCGGTTTCAGCGGGCGTCATTCGTCAGGATGGTCAGCAAGGGGGACTTCAAGGGGATCCCGTTCTTCTTGGCCAGGGTCTAACTCTGTTGAAGAAGGTTGTGGAGATTCTTTCCCTTCCAACTGTCGCTATCCTTTTGGGAGAGAGGCAGTCTCAATTTATTGAACTGTCCAAGCGTTGTCGATCTCTTATCGTGTTGAGGTATCCTGGCCTGATCGTTATGCTTACAACTCTCATCACACAAGGTACGTCAGATCTCTCTGTTACTGTGGGAATTCTGACTCTTGTATGAAATTCTCTCGATCTCTATTTTGTAGGACATTTATCCAAACTTGGTCGAACATCTCTCGAAGGAATGGTCTTGGAAACTCTTGGAATTCTATCTGTTTCCGTCACAGCCGATCAAATCATTCGTTCAGGAGCAACTCTGTCCCAATCATCTGCTTCAACCAAACACACGACATCTAAACGACCAGAAGACTCAACAAAGAAGGAAAGTCAACAAACCAGTGATGCGATCAATTGCGACAAAACCGCGCTTAATGTTTCTTCAGCCGTTCAAACACTCTCTGTATCTCGTTTACGGGATACGAATCACTTCATCCTCACTTCGTCCTCCCCAGGCGATTCCTGTTCAACTCCTTCAGTCACAAAGAAACGCTCATTAGATGAGATTCTTTGCTCTGTCGCTCTCGTTATCTTCAGCTTTTGTCATTCTTCTCTTCTTACAACCCCTTCCAGTCAATTTGTCCTTTCCTCCTCTTCTGGTCGCCCCCCAGATTCAGTAAATCAACGCAATAAGGATCTCTCTTCCCAACAATCTCCTCAGGAATTACTTTTCTCTTCTCTCATCGATTGTCTCGTTTCTCTTGAACATTCTCAGCTCCATCCATCTCTTTCTAAATCTATTGTGAATTTGCTTCATCGACCATCATTACTGGTTCGAATTCAGCATCGATTCTTCAGTCTCATTCAATCAATCCATCCATTTGAATTTTCAGGTACGACAACGTTTTCAGAATCCTCATCGATCTCTCTCCTCCATTCAGCCTCCCTCCACAGGGAAAGGGATTCTTCGGCTTTCCTGTCCCAAATCCTAGGATTCCTCTCCATCATCTATCCAGACCTCTATTCGGACCAGAAGTCTGCTCATCCCGTTAATACCGCGTCTTTCCCAAGTATCCTTCACCATTTGCGAGAATTGTATCTTCTGAGTTGGATTCCCATCTCCTCATCCCTCTTAGCTCGCGCAACGACCTGCTTGGATCGATTGGGACTCTCAGTTGGACAAGTAGGGATTCCTTCACATGTAATTTACGACGTACCTTATCGCAGTCAAATGTGTGTTCCCACTCAATAAACGGTGTTTTCTCATTTATAGGTCCCTGAAGACGCTTTTTCCAAACCCGTCGTGTCAAGGTCTTCGAACATCTCTTCTTCTCTTCATTTCCTTTTATCCTTCTTTGATCCTAATCAATTGATCGAATCGCCCATGTGTCCCATTCCCGAAAAGTCTTCTATCTTCAGGGATTGTGTATCGGCTTATGTTGAGGTCTTGGAGTGCTTGCAAAAAGCGCTCATCTTTTCGGCGGGAGACCGCCAAGTCTTGCGGTACGTTCGTCTGTCGAGTTTCCGAACAAATTTCTCTTTGTTAGGTTTATAGAGAATATTACAGACAGTCTGTCATCTCGCATTCCCCTTGATGATTTATTACGATCTCTCTCCACCCTTTGGGACGATTTTTCCCAATCAACTCCTCAATTGCAATGGAGTGACAATCAACAGTCCAATCAATCGGAGTGGGAACATCCATCTCTAAGATCAATCGAAACTCTTCAGAATACGTTTACCATTCTGCATCAAACTGGATCCCTTCTCGAGTCTTTTTATCTTCGGGCCGAGCGGCAAGACAACCCTTCTTTTGATTTAATTCTATCTGATGACAAATTGTATTTTGTGATTCAGCTTCTAAGTGATTTTTGTAATCGGTTGACTCTTTCAATTGAAAACGGAGGATTGTGGATCAAATCATTGCAGGACTTTCAAGATCGCATTGCAACAAAAGTTTTTCCGAAGAAGGACTCTCTGGAACGAACTCTACAAGACCATAGCGGCGCTCATTACGATCCTTCTAAGAGACGCATCGGTCAGACTCAAGCGATCGCTATATCGATTTTATGGAATATTTTGGTGATGAAGACAATCAATTCAATCGCTCAAATCTTGGAATTGTTGCTGCGAAATGTGTCGAAGATCTCTGATGTTAAGAACCGTGTCACCCGAATTTCATGTCGACTACGAATGTTTGGATATGAGTTGCTAAAAATGATCGGGTCCGAGTATCGGCTTTGCTCATTTATGGGTCTGAGAGTGTTGAATCAAGTTGCTCTCCTTTCATACGCGTGCGAAGAAGAAAAACCAGAATTCGACGGAACGCAAGAAGAGAATCGTAATTCTTGGAGCGAGTCGTTTGTCGGCGAGTACAGTTCCGTCATTATCGATCACTTAGCGTTCGATTTGATGATTTTAAAGCGTCAACCACATGACATGTCCCAAAATAGCATGGAGGGTCATGGTATTGGGAATGTCTTATTAGCGTCAATTTTGTGCTGCGACGATCACACGATTTTGTCCATGAAGGACGTTCTCCAACAGCTGAACGAGTTCGCGTCTTCCGAGCTGCTCAAGCACACAAACGGGTCGGCCGGAATCTCCACTGGGTATCAGATTCCAATCTGGGTGGTGAAAGTGCAAGCAGCTCTTTCACAGCGCTTGGCTGAAATGGCGACGATTGATCCGAAACTTCGTGGAGGAAATAATTGCGACTTCGAGATGTTGGATGAGAATGTGAAGACATCTGAAGAGAAAGACACGCTCAAAATGTTGTCAAGGATACTAGAACGCAACCAGGAGGGTGGAGACAACATTCCGAAATATTCGCACAACGTTGTAACGAATTGTTCAAACAACGCGGAATTCCTGACAGACAACCAACCCATGAGCGACTCGTTTCTTGAAATGACTTCACTTCTATTGAATTGTTCTCAAATATGTTTGCTCCATCCAAATGTTCAAATTCAGTATTTCGCTCATCTCACTTGTTTACGCTGTCTTCGTTCTTCTTCGTCCAAACGCGAATGGCTATTGCCGCGAATTCACCAGGTGAGTGACGTTTTTCTTCTAGGGAAATTCCTTTCATCTGCAGGTCTGGCCATCACTACTCATTTCGCTCAGCCGTGATGCTGTCCTCTCTGTCGTCCTTCTGGCTTCCCTTATCGTTCGTCAAGTTCTTCATCTTGCTACCGATTTTGTAGCTTCACGGTAAACGATCTTTAACAATTCCGCTGGATTCAACAAGCGTTGATAGAATTCACTTCAATGATGGTTTTATCAATTTCCATTAAATGCACCAGATGAATGTCAAATGTCTGTTTCTCCACAGATTTCGCTTTGATCTCTTCCCCCTTCTCTGTCGCTTGCTCGAATCACACTCTCCATCAAGAGCGTCTGATCAAACGAATCGCACCGAGATCTACAAGTAAATCTTCAATTGATTCGACGGCATACTTTATTTCTCGCAGGCTTCAACTTGTTCTTCTCGACATTCTCATCGTTGCTGCATCCAAACCGGCGGTTGTGTCCCCGATCGTTGCTCGCTGTTGTGGCATCGGTGAGTTAACAGATGCGTCTTGCTAAACTTTCCGGTTTTTGACAGCTTTTCGATTTTGGCACTGTGGGACATCTTCTCACTGCGCGTCCCATGCGTCGAAGCTGTTTTGTTTGTGCCTTCTCTCGGATTATAATTGCACTGTGTCAACTTTAATTGGATTCGGACGCATTCAAGCTGATTCCGTCACGCTTGCCAGAAAACCTTTCAAGCGACTCTTCTCCGCCTCAGATGCGATGATCACAGAAATTGATGGAAATCTTGAGAATGATACCAGTGCTTCTCTGAATTGTGAAGTGATGAGTTTGATTCGTGAACTGATTGGTCAAAAATTTCTTGATCAATTATCCTGGACGTCAGCAGTTTCCATGATTGCTGTCGACAGTGGGTTGAAAAACACCATTCCACCCCGAATGTTGGAGCCTGAGGGGCTAGGAATGTCGAAGGCAGAACTGAAGAACAGGAAGGACAACTACGTTCAGATTGATGCAAGAAAGAATCTTCGACACGCGCTCGGAATTCTCTTGAAACATCGTAATGTTCTGTACAGAAAATGTAATTAATTCTGCGGACAGAAAGTGCAGTGGAAATTGGATAAGTTTTCCTTGATTTGTTCGAAGATACTGAAGTTGAACTAAAATTGTAATACTGCAATCAGTTATTTGGCTGTTTTCTAGTTTATCTGCGCGGTTTTATTGCACGAACACTTGTCATACAAAAACCGACATGTCATCCATCGAAGATCACTCCATGTTGTACGAAACAATTCTGTTGAAGAAGCTTCAGCAACAAATTCGTGTTTTTTTCTGTTTCTCGAAATCCTTATGAGCAGTTAGGATTTTTTGTAAATGCTGTTCGCCTAATGGTGAAGACCTTCGAACCAGAATTTTTCCACGATCACAACATCCGCAACAATTCCACATTTGGCATCCGCCAGTGGGGCGGTCGTAGCACCCTCCCCCGCAACACTTCTCATTGCAGCATGCACAACACCCAGGAACGATCTTTTTGAGTTTGGGTTTTGGTCGAGATGCGCGCTCTCTCAAAAACTGCGCAGGAATCGTAGTAGGAAAGACGGATTCACTGGAGGAGGCCTCATACCTTTCATGAGGAAGGGGGGCGAGTTGTTGTTGGTGCATCTGTTGGTGGAGGAATGGTTGATTATGATACGCCGCCATTGTCAGATAATGATGCGAATGAAAAAAAGAAGGTTCACACACGCTCGTTCTCCTCTCTCTGCTACTTTCATGCAGACAACTGCAGGTACAAGAAATTTCGAAGAACAAGAAAATACGATAAAAAACGATTCAACACAGTTACCAGTCATGTTTCAGCTCTTCGCGGATCTTTCGCCCTTCTCTGCTGCGTTTAACTCCTCTATTTCCTTTAGTTAACTTCTGCTTCTTCTTTTTCTCTGTCGCTGCGGCGTGCTTCCTTGCCCCATCGGCGGTTTTTCTGCATCACAAAACCTTCAAACATCCCTCATGAGCGTCCGTACCTCTTCACAGTTGGTCGCCATACATTGTCCAGACGTTTCGTCTTTACCTCACGATTTTCCCCTTCACTTCTCTCTTCACTACCGCTCTCCTCATCATCATCATCGTCATCAGCATCATCGTCATCGTCACCATCATCGTCATCACCATCATCATCGTCATCATCATCATTGATAGCGACTGGGATCATTGTCTTGTTTTTCGTCTCTACTTCCTCATCACATTCCGATTCAGCCTCTTCAGTCTGCTGCGCTTCAATTTTATTTCGATGCAACTCAAATGTTTCTCTGAGTCGCGCCTCATCATCCTCGTTACTATTTTTAAAAAATGTAAAATCCTTCGAATTCATTTCAGGAATTCGCATCTCTTCGAACCTGTAAGTCGAGATGTCACTTCATACGTCTCTCAGTGCTATCACTTTTCTGGCTATCTTACTCATGACTATCTTACTCATGACTATCTTACTCATGACTATCTTACTCATGACTATCTTACTCATGACTATCTTACTCATGACTATCTTACATCTGTCTACAGTTTTACTTGTGTACCTTACTTGGGATATTTTGTGACCTCTAATCCAAATTTTGATTTGAAGAGAGATCGAACGCATTCGACATCTCTCGCAAAATAAGTGTCAGCATTCGGATGATGAGCACTCACTATTTGAGGGAAATCTATCGAGCAAAGAGACGAACGCACATTGGAACGTATATATCAACGAAATATACATGAAATATATATCCATCGCATGAAATATATATCCATCGCATGAAATATATATCCATCGCATGAAATATATATCCATCGCATGAAATATATATCCATGAACATGTATTCTCACCTATCATTGTAATCTTCTCTTCATCGGAAATCATCAAATTGAATTCATTAAAATCTCCATGAATTAAACCACATTCAGCCATTTTCACCACTAATCCCATTAATGTCTCTAAAACTTGCTTTGGATGTTGTAGCTCACGCACTTGAGAAAACGGAAACGCGTCAATATATTCCATCAATATTGCGTGCCGGTTGACATCAATGGGTTCAGGAACTGGAAAGTCATGTTCATGCAACGCCTTCATGTACGCGAACTCCTTTGCTGCTGCCAAACGAGCCAAATACATCCAACTTGCACTTTGTCGATGTCCCAGATAATCCCGTTGCCGTTTAACTGCTCTGAATGAAACCCGCCCCAGGCGATGAAGTTTCAAGATGACGATTCTTCCGTCAGCCCCTTCACAAATATGAATGTCTGACTCCTTTCCGACTCCCATTCTCATCCCCACTCCAACTAAATGGCCCCGCGCGACAAAAGTTCGGAGTGCCAGGAAATCGTATCCCAAATACGTCAATTTATAGCCGTCGTAAGCTTGACCATCATGAGCAAGAAGCTTGTGCTTTAATAGGTTTCCCAAAACCGTCCGCACTCCCGTCCTTCGTAAATTCGCTATACGTTCAATCAATGTCGTCGGGACCAACTCGTGGTTCTTCATTCCCATTTCGACGGCTTCCAAAACCCTCCATTCAACTTTCGTCAAATAGCGAAGGAGATTAGGGTCGAGCTTCATCAGTCACGGCAGTCTGTGGCGCAGGTTTGAAGAGGTTTGAACAACATGACAGAAAAAGCGGGGGGAAGAACGCCACAACCTTGAATACATGATAGAGTCGTTTATTTGAATAGATGATGTTTATGCAAATAGACCATATATCCAAATACACTCATTCAATCACTTTTATTCAGCCAAGAGTTTTTTCGACTAGCTTGCGAACTTTTCGTTTATAAACTTCAGGATTCGTCTTCATCTCGATCTGCAAAAGAGAGAACAACGATCTCGTACAACTGATGAGTCCCAATGAGTCCTAATGAGTCCTAATGAGTCCCAATGAGTCCAATGAGTCCCAATAATGTCTACAAGTCATCTATTCCTAGAAGTGGGAATTCTTACAGCAGCATCCACATTCGCAGGCGAATCAACATTAGGGCTACTCAGGAGTGACATGAAGGACACCATGATTGTCTCGACACCTAAAATTGGACGCCACCGTTCATCCGCTGTTTCTTGTTCGTTGAATTCATCTGTTCCAGGTGGATGAAGAATACTTATACAGACAGTACCGTCTGCATAAACTAAGGAGCACAAATAAAAACTTCCTTGAGATTTTTCGATCTTACTGTTCGGATGCCACATCTCTTCGGTGATCTTCATCGTGGGCGGATTATTCGGGAAATCGTCGGGAAAATTCAATACCGCATGGAAGGATCCATTTTCGTAAAGAGTTCCAGCCGGCCCGACGAACCAAATTTCCCATTTGAAGAAGTCGTTGTCGATGAGGTCGACCGAAAACAGCGAATCGTCTTGTTGAATGTCTGTACATGCAGAGGGGGTTAATGAATACTAGGGGAGGGGAGAGAGAACATCTGGTTTGACCGGTTATCTCACCACTCAATTGCTTCTTAAGTAAGTTCAAGGCATACTTGCTCATTTTTATCAGACTTTCTCGCTGGCCAGGTACGCTTGCTGTGCATGCAGTGAAGCAGGTGGTCCACAGTGTGAGCCAATTTATTGCTTTGTGGCCTAGAAGATCCATTGGAACGTCAAACAGCCGTCCTGATAATTCTAATGTTTTCATGATGTGTCCCAATTTTGTCGTTTTCTGCACCGGGTTGACTGTCACCGAACTAAGACATTAAATCGCCTGTCTTTTAAAACTGCATTAAAATGGACTCTGATGAGCAAAAACAAGAGGTGGCACCAAAACAGCCTGAAGTGCATTTCCTAGACCATCCATCGAAAAGGTCTCGAGAATCTAATCAAAGCAGTCGTTAAGATCGTTGCACTGCTAAACCTCTTACATGCACCTCCTATGCTTACCCCATTCATTCTCTCTCTTTTTGTTCTCCACGAAACGAGTTATAACCAATTAACACCAAATTAACTTAATGATGCTCGCTCTCGCGGCCTCATTACGACGGCAACGGTTCTTTGCCGGACCATGTCCTTTGCGATAAGTACCATAAGGGGCTTATTCAAACTCGCTCTCCTTCTCTTTCAGGTGACAACGGCGGTGTTCATCACCTTTGCCCTCTGCGCTATTACCCACACGTTCTCCCCCGTGCTCCCCTGGACTACAACCGCCCGCGACCTTCTCTTCCAGTCAACTCAGTGGTCCCTTGCTACGCTGGCTGCCTCCGACCATCTGGAACGCTGCCTCGTCCACTACCACCAGCTTGCTGAAGCCTGCACCACCCATGTGTTCCCTCACATCCCATCGGTAGGTTTCTACTCCTTCTCATCTTCGTTTACAGCTCGCTCGAACATTTCTGTTGTGTCCCCCCTTTGACTGGCGCAGTCTCAACTGTTACCCGACTCTCTGCCTCTATCCTCGCCAGTTCTACCTCCAACTTTCTAGCATACGTTAACACGAAGCTAATGTGTAGATCCTGCGGTTCAGTATGCTGCAGTGGAATATGAAAGCTCCAACTTTCTAGCATACGTTAACACGAAGCTAATGTGTAGATCCTGCGGTTCAGTATGCTGCAGTGGAATATGAAAGCATCTTTGTGGAAAGACACAAACGAACTATTCATTCGGTTTCGCAATTTTTGAGAACTTCTTCCACCAATCTGCGAATTTCGTCAGCTTCAGCGTGCATCTCCTCCTTCGTTCTATCCCTGAAAGATCAATAGCAAGCAAAAATGAAGATGAATCCAAGAAATCAATAAAATTGAAACAGAAAAAAAAAAATGATAAGGTATGACAAGCCACACATAATTCAAAGCTTACTTTCTCTCTTCGTCATCTGGAATTACTTGCCGATTTGATCTAGTTGCGTCGTGATTGTCAAGGTGTTCGTATATTTCATCATTTCTGTTGCCAATAATGTCAAACGAATTTTGATCCAAGAGCCTACTTTGCAAAGTCTCCACCAAATCTAGGAATCACGTGAACATGGACGTGATCGACAGTTTGACCTGCACCTGCGCCATCCTGAGAATATTTTGAGACAACTATTTTGAAGAAGACTTTCATGACATTTCGATCTCATCTGACCTGCATTGCGATATTTAAAGCACTCGCCTTGTGCTTGAGTTCCATCAACGCACCGATTGCTTGAGCCGAAAGCCAGAGATCTTGAACTTCATCTGCAGTGAGATCCGCAAATCTCTACAACATTTATTTGTAATGAGGTCATTTGGGGTTTCCGTACCTTCACCACACGAAGCGGACAAATGAGAACGTGGCCGGGGCAGAATCGGTCTTAGATTGACGAACCCGAAGCTGAGGTGACTGAGAAAAAAAATTTCGCCAGATGAAATTTTCCATTGAGCGAATTGCAAATGAGTTGGAGGAGATTGAAGTAGTTTGCAAGAATCGCGAAATCTTGGATAGAATTTCTGCATTGTCAACAGGCAACTGGCCTTCTACAGATTTCCTCCGTCAGCTGACCTCCAGTCTTGAGGAGTGGCTACTTCTTTTGAGTCAGAATAGTGTCGCGGAGAGTACCTATCAGGAGGTTATGATATTGAACGCGCCCTCCTGCCTCTCATCCATTGATCGGATTGCTTGAATATATTTATCACATCAGAAAGTAGCTTTTGTCGTTCTTGAAGAATAAGATGGTTAAATGTTCTGCTGAACAGTTGTTTGCTATTTCGATGGCCAAACTCGAAGGTTGTTCTCCTATTCACAGAAATCGTTTTGAACTGAAGCTAAACGTTGCTTCAGACCTTCTTCTTAAAAAATATTAGAAAAAACAACGTTATGGGTGGGAGAAATATGTTCCATGAAATATGTTCCATGAGATATGTTCCATGAAATATGTTCCATGAAATATGTTCCATGAAATATGTTCCATGAAATATGTTCCATGAAATATGTTCGCTTCTTGAAATCTTAGATGAGTTCAACCTAATAATGAATTCAATGTAATGGTCACCGTCAAATCGCTGTAGCTTCTTCCAAGTCATTGATCTCAATTTTATCCGCATTTTTCTTGTGGTAATTGAACGTTTCAAGTTCTTCGTAGCACTTCGAATACGCGCAACTATGAATCGAGATGATGTGAAATGGTCACAGACGACCGAAGTGAGCTCCGTGTTTATCTGGAACCTTGCTGTCTTCGCCGCATTCTTTTTCAGCTCGATGCTGAAGAAGAACAAGAGAGAGAGTTTTATTTCTTTACACACGTTCTTGGAATATCTCGCTGTTTTGTTCTGCCAGAAGCAACCAAAAGATAGGAATGAGATTAACCAACTAATTCCCCTCAGATTTCTGTCTGGAGCCGAAAGTGGCGAAAAACAAAAAAGCTCAACGGACGACGGTGGATTCCTGCAGCAGACCAACTTCGCTTCCCGGATGAGGCGTTTTTTTCCTCAATTCCTACAAACTTGAGTGTAAGAAATTTCAGTTTGACTCAAGTTGATTTTGCGTGCGGATCTGATAAATGTCCAAGAGCACAAACCGGTGAAGTTAGATTGATGCTCGCGAATTGAGTGCTTGTCAGTACAGAAACCCAAAAGTGCCAATGAAAACTCAGCGATTGAAAACAATGAGAGGTCCAATGAATCGCAGCCACCAGAATAGATGTCCTGGCGAGCCAACCCCTGGTGGGACACATCACATGCAGTGGGACACATCACATGCAGTGGGACACATCACATGCAGTGGGACACATCACATGCAGTGGGACACATCACATGCAGTGGGACACATCACATGCAGTGGGACACATCACATGCAGTGGGACACATCACATGCAGTGGGACACATCACATGCAATGGGACACATCACACGCAGTGGGACTCACCGCAGCAAAGAGAAATCGGAGAGTAGCCATCACTGCACGGCAGTAGCTCCAGTAGTAGCGCCCACAATCCAAACCAAACTCTCTTCGTGATCAGCCGCGGGCCACCGCAGACTCCCGAAATGCCGGCAGACAGCAAATCATCGACAAACTTCAAAAGAGATCAAATACTGACGCTAGATTCATGATGTGCTCAGCGATTGTGATGTAGAATGCATTGCTGAGTCAATCTCAGATGATGAGGTGTTTTGTGTGACGGGACTGTATCTAGTGTCGTTATTTCACTATTCCATATTGCGACTCTGCATTTTGCAAACTCAAGCAGTCAACGATTGCACATGTCGCAAGGGGCAGTTCGTCAAGCTGAACGGAAAGACCTTCGAAGAAATCCATCCGGATGACCAGAGGGATCAGAAAGAAGCTCATCATTCCAATGAGAGAAGTGTTTGGGGAAGAAGAAAGTTGCGTCCAAGCGTGAAGGCCATTCGAAGGTGTCTGCAATAGGTAGTTCCAAGTGCAAGATTTCCAGGCCATTGAAGTCGAAAGCACACGAAGCAAAAAATCGAATAGAAGAAAATGATTCATATCCAGGTCTTATTGTCTGCTCTGTTCCGTGTGCGTTTGATAATACTGCATGCATTGTCAAAGATCAAGTCATCATCAGTCAATATGAATAATTTTCTTCGGCTTGCCTTCTTGTTTTTCTTTGGCGCAATAACCTCGTGCGCTTTCGACTGTAATGGCCGTGAGCTCTCTTACAATGATTTCTCCGCCGATGTGGCTCATCTGATCGATGCTGATAAATCTATTAATACTCTAAATGGACCGACCAATGATGCTTCAATTTGGAGTGCATTGTCTTCCACATTTCTTCAAGACAATCTTGAATCACATCGTCTTGGAATTTTGTATTTCATTGATGAGGATTCCAAGACTCCCAACAAGTGTTATCCAGAGGTCCCCTTGAAAGGGGGAGCGTGGATCTCGCTTTACATTCAATTTATGTATATTGATATCAGTCCTCCAAACACCAGCGCGACGACAACAAGAGCTTTGATCCCAACCCTTGATGTGGTGCTGGATGACGATTTCGGATGGAATTCAACGAAAATCAACCGTGATGGAAAAATTGAAGTGAAGCTCGTTACGATAGCCACCAATAAATCTCCGAATTGGGAGGAGTCCGAGAGTCGTCCAGCTTGGGAGCCTGGTAAGAAGAACCAGTGCACTACCTCTAACCCTCCCTCGAAGGACGATGCTGCAAAGAGACTGGCACAGAAAAATACTCACTTGGCTGTTGCCGTTCTGGACAGCGCCAGCGAGGATGTCGAGCGCGCGTGGAAGGGATTGGAGGGCAAACGTGTTTCTGTGAAGCGGGGTCCCGTGACCGATCGAATCTTGGATGAAACGTTCATACCGATGTTCAATTCAATTTTTTGCGCTGCTTATGAAGATGCAATGACGACAACAACAACGACAACTACTACTACGACGACCACCACAACTACTACTACGACGACCACCACAACAACGACGACGACTACAACAACTACAACAACAACGACTACAACAACAACAACAACGACTACAACAACGACGACGACTACAACGACGACGACGACTACAACAACGACGACGACGACTACAACTGCAACAACAAGTACCGATTCCGATGAAGAGCGACTCTGAATGCAACTGCAGTGATGGACGCGTGAAGGTTGCAGTAAATGTGAAGGTCGAGCCGATTCCGCTTCCTTCAAAAGAGGCGTTTTTAAGCTGATCAATCTTCTTGAAGATGGAGGTGAAGCCGATTGCTTTTCCGTCAAAAGACGCGGTGCTAGGCTGATCAATATTTTTTGAAAGAAATGGAGCAAATGTGAAGGTTGAGCCGATTGCTCTTCCGTCGATAGTGGCGGTTCCAAGTTGATCAATCTTTTTTAACCATTTGTTTTCAAACACAAGAACTCACTATGTGTTGGAATCATAAGACCCTGCTCTCTACGTCTTATCAGGCGCTCCCCCTTACGTTTCGCTGGTCTGGTAGAAGGCATAACCATTTGGTCGCGGGTTCAATCCCCGCTGGTGGCTTTTTCACTTCTTTTCAAACTTTCAAAACGATTCAAAAAAACCTAGCGATTCCTTCTTCTCTATTTCCACTTTCAGGTTGCACAACACCAAGCAAGAAAGAAACAGATGTATCCGTGAGGACAGAAAATTCCGCTATGCCTTCGGGCGACTTCATCGTCTTGATAGATTTCATCCCAGGGACTGTTTTTAGCGACACAAGCGTGCATCACATACATCACCAACTAAACAGCAAATTTAACAAAATTAAAAGAGCTGCTGTCTATGAAAATTCCTAAGGTAAATTACCATCGTATTCCTCCACGGACACGGGAAGCCGTCTGGTTTCTCGGGCGTAAACAGCAGCAACGACTCGAGTTAGCCCTAGAGCCTTCAAAAATTGCTGGTAGCTCTTTCGAACTGCCAGACAGGAATTGGAGTAGTTTTCAACTAGCAATAATGGCACATCCGCAAGGCGTCACGTGTAGCCACACTGCCCCTCCCGCAAGGATACTGATGTATCAGAAATCTACTCCTCTGGTCAATTCAGCATGTCCCATCAACTCGAGAGTGGTTC